AAAATAGATATGCAAACAAATGTTGTCGAATGGTAATAATTACTGTACAGAAAAATCATGGGAAGGGAAATGGGTGTGGTGCAGTTTGGGTGGTCAGGAAAGGCCTTACTGATAAAGAAAAATTTGAGCAGGGAGCAGGGAGGTGTAGGAAGTAAGTGTGCAAACCATGCAGATAACTATGATTGGTGGTGGAGAACAAGGGTTGCTGTCAATATTTGAAACTTTATGAATTGATTTGTTACATAGCAATTGATAAACAAAACATACAGGTACATGGAGAAGGCAACACAGGAGTGACTGTCATGAGGGGATTTAAAATATCAGCAGTGAAACCTACTTGGGATACAAGACTGCCCAAGAACCCTCAATTTTAGGATGTCCCCAGGAAAAAGCTCATGACTGAGTCAGTGTCCATTACTGGCTGTGCTGGGAACAGGATGAAAAAGGACAGGGCTCACTCAGCTTTCATAAGAGAATTGTTGTTAAGTGCTATAGAGTTGATTCCGACCCATAGCAACCCTGCATAGGGTTTCCAAGGAGCAGCTGGTGAGCTTGAACTGCCAACCTTGTGGTTCAAACCGACTTTGCAGTCCAGCGCATTAATCCACAGTGCCACACCAAGACTCCTATAAAAGGATTAGGGTCCAAGAATCACCATTCCTACAGGAGTACATGGGAAATGTGAACTCCCAAAAGGAAATTGACATGCTGCTAGGAGAGCTCCAAACTGTCACATGCTGTTTCCTTGCCCTGGAATACAGCTCCCCACATCTTTGCATAGGTGGCTTTTCACAAGTTCAGTGGCTAAGAGCACACTCTCTAACACTTTCTGGGTTAGGCACTGATACTAGGTTTATTGTGCAGTTGCGGTGATTCAACTTGTGTCTGTTTCCTCATTTAGAAACAGGAGAAAATAACAGTGCCTCCATCACTGAAAAGATTAATATATGAGGATAAGTAAGAAAAAAGTATTGTTACTAGGGTTCCAGTTCATACATGCAGGGGTTTATTCCAAACAAAATGTGTTTCAACATGTCTCTGTGATTAGTGGATGGCTGCAGATAAGGTCTGTCAGTAATGCACGTGTCTTAGTGCCTTCAGGAAAAAGGTCCAATCAAAATAGAAGCTTCCAAGGGGATCTGCTGGGCTAGGTAAATTCAATGCAGAGAAGTCAGCTCAGAAGGCTATGGCGGCTGGATTTGGGGATTCCGAGGGGGGAAATCTTCATAGATTTTCTCGAAGGACATAGGATGATTACAGGGGCTTATTAGGAAGGAGTTTTAAGAAAACTGAAAAGTGCATTGTTGAGAAAAAGGCCAGGAAAGTTTGCACTGAGGAATTTTTTTTCTTCACAACAATGTACATGCTCATTCTGTGAGGGTAACAAGGACTGTCCGAGGAGAGTTTGGCTGGAAGCTCTTACCCCATCCACACTTGTTAAGTGCTGTCAAGTCGGTTCTGACCCACAGGTACCCTGTATAGGGTTTCTGAGGCGTGGCTGGTGGGTTTGAACCACCATCCTGTCAAATAGCAGTTGAGTACTTATACTACAGCACCACACCAGGACTCCCCCACCCACCCTAGAGGCCTGATCATGCCCTTTCAGACTGTTTTTTGTTTTCCAAATGCAAAAAACATTGAAAAGGAACATTATTTGAATCTTTTGAGGATTCCAAAACTGCAGTTTTGAAGTGGTATAAATTGGAGAGCACAGAATTCTTTGGGGGGAAGAGCCATTGAGTTGGTTCCGACTCATAGCCACCCTGGTATATATGGTTTCCAAGGAGCAGCTGGTGGGTTTGAACTGCCGACCTTGTGGTTTGTAGTCTAGTGGTGATCCTACAGCACCACACCAGGAACCATCTTATTAGCAGTGAGTTAATTAAATGTCTAACCAAATATAGCAGGCTAATTTTAAAGTTGATAATTTTGTATGGCCTGTGAATACCCAAATGGCCCTTGGCAGATAAAAGGTTCCCCACCCCTGCTGTAGGTTTTGCAGGAGCAGCTGATAGGTTTGAACTTACAACCTTATGGTTTGAAGTCCCATGCTGATCCTACAGCTCCACACCAAGAATCTGGGGAAAAGGTTAAAAAGGTGGAAACACTGCCTTCAGAAATGTGTAAGAGTAGATGGAGGATATGTTAAGAAACAATAGCTTCACATTTTAATATTTTAAATAAAAGTTTCTATTTTGTAGCAATAGTTTTTGTCTTATCCTGTGTATAAAGCACCTTAATCAGTCCCTGGCATGCAATAAATGCACACATTAAGTTCATTTTTATGATTATTTTTAATTGTTATTAAAATTCCAGCTCAAATATCAGTTCCTCAAAGAGGCTTTCTGTGATCCCCTCATTTAAAGTGGTGTTATCTCCCAGGGTATCGGTATGGTTCTGTAGGATAAGCACTGGACTGCAAAGTGCTAGGTTGGCAGTGCAAAACCATCAGTAACTCCTTGGAAACCCTGTTCAGGGTCACTATGAATAGGAACCAGTTCGATGGCAAACAGTACCTGGCAGTCTTTTTTAGTTATTATTTATGGTACTTATTACTACACTTGTAGGATAAGCCCTGGACTGTTAACCACAATGGTCAGCAGTTCAAACCCACCAGTCACTCCTTGGAAACTTTATACGGGGTCACTATAAGTTGGAACCAATTCAAAGACCCTTAACAACAACAATCACTACATTTAATCGGCTTATTTATGAATTTATTTCTCATTTTACATTTTATATACTAGTTTTATTTTTATGATTGCATAAATGTGGCTACCAGCTAAAAGGTTGTTCCCACAAGGGTAGGGGACCTGTCTGTGGTGACACTGCTATGTCCTTGGGCTTGAACACAATATGGGTGGAGACTTTGAGGGTGCACTGTCCAGACCCGCTTCAGTAGAGGGCATGCTGCCCCCACTCTTAGGAGTGCTGCCAGCAGGTGACCCTCAGTGGTCAGGTACTTCCCAAATTGTCTCAGCTGCAGAGAGCACTGTTTCAACCGCTATATCCCTTCTGGGAGCAAATCATTGACAGAGCAGATAAAGGACTGCCATCTCAGCTCAGTGTGGGACAACTGCCTGTGGGGCTAGCTGAGGCTGACATTAGTCTTGCATCATGCTTCGGCTTCTCCTCTGTCCACTTCTGCTTCCCCCCTTTTCCTTCCACAGGTGCTGACTCCAAGTTTATTCCGTAATAAACATCCTGTTTCCTTTCTGGACAACCAGCCTGTGAGAGGTGCTTTGAGAAAGAATGGCAATGCTGGAAGAATGAGATTTCTGGAGCCACCCAAAGGACATCCAGGTAGAGCCTCCCTGCTGTAAGGGGCATCTTTTCTAGGACTCTCTCATTGGCCTTTGCTTTCAGCAGGGGCTGGAATAACTTGTGGGGCCAGTTTTGTCTCATTGAAGTTCTACCTCAACTCAGCTGAGAAGATCCAAGACAGAGGAGTTGTATGGAAATGCAGATACCCAGCAGGTGGCTCTCATCCATCAGCTTCCCAGAAGCCCTATCACACACCAGGAGAGGGGTCCTTTCCTGTTGCACAACCCTGAGGAAATGACTACCTGCTCAGGCTCTCTAGCTGCCCCTCTTACATAGACTCAGCCAAGTCAGTCTAAGGTCCTGACTTGTTAAATGAGCCTGGCTTTTCCAAGTCCAACCCCATGTTGAGTGAGTCATCAGAGAGAGGCCTTCCTGACGTGCTGGTGGTTGGTACTTCTTGAGCCGTGAACACAGGTTCCTCCACTAAACACTGTGTGTATGTGTACCAAAAACAAACAAAAAACCCCCCAAACCAACAGTTGCTGCTGAGTCAACTCCACTCATGCAACCCCATGTGTATCAGAATAGAACTGAATTCCATAGGGTTCTCAATGACTGATTTTTTAGAAGTTGATTACCAAGCCTTTCTCCTGAGAAGTCTCAGGATGGACTTGAACTTCCACCCTTTCAGTCAGCAGTGGAACACATTAACTACCTAGGGACTCCTATGTGTCTATCTCATCTCCTTTTCTCAAGATTTACTACATACATGTTGTGCAGGTGAGCCGGCTTTGTTGTTCAGATTGCTTCAGTTATACAGCTAATTACAATTCCTTGGCTACAGAGAAGATTTCAGAGCTGGATTCTAAATTCAGTGCAGTTATCTTTAGAGCCTATTGGCCTCTAATTTTGGTCCTTTTCCCAGAGGTTTTTGTTCTGTTTTAACACTAAATGTCCATGTTGTTAAGGATGTTTTGTGCCTTATAGGTTCCAAAGATAAAGAGGCACTTGGCATAGTTGGGCTGGCTCTATGAGATCCTTGATGACAAGAACTTGATTAGATTTGGGGCTGCAGGTTCTGGGGAAATGTAATCCAGGTCTGGTGGCCCCTCCTTTATCTTCTTCAGCTTCTTCCCAGTGGTAACAGCTCCTCAAACCCTGGGCTAGTGTCTTCATTGTGGGGCAATCTCCCATTGCTTTAATGTTTTGCAGGAACATGACTTTGGGGTAAAACTTACATGGAGTAAATTACCCCAACTCTGTCTTTAGCTTGCTGTATGATCTTGGATAACACTCTTCCTGTTCTGTAAAATGGGAGTGGTGGGAGATGTTTAAGTTTCATTTCTAATAAGTTGGGGTTCTTTTACAGGCATTGGGGGACACTTCTGGGGCCTGGATGTGGTCAGGGAATTTGAGAGATGCCAGGAGAGCCTAGATGATAGTGAGCTGACCAGTGGGCTCTGCTTCGTCAGCCTCTCAGCAACAAGAATGAAGAAAAGAAGATGGTGGAGGCTCCATAGTAGTTACATCACACAGAGTTGGCAGAAAGTCTTAAGGATCACTGAGTCCAACACCTCATTTTACATATGGGAAATCTAAGGTCAAGGTGGGAAAGGAACCTGCCCAAGTTCACAAATTGAGGCAGAGGCTGAAACAGGACTGGAACCCAAACCTTCTGGTTGTCACATGAGAGGGACAGAAGTGGGCAGGAGGTCATCTCCTCTCATCTCAATCCATTACTTGGCTGTGCCCACATGAATAATCACAAAGCCTTTGATGTCTGGAAAGTGAGGGCTGACAAGGTCAACCTGCAGCTGCCTGGGACCACTCCTGGAGGGAGTGATGTTGAATTGGACCGAGGCCCTCTCCTGAGGCTCCAGACTGGGCACCCTGAAGAAAAAGTAGATCATCAGTCTGCTCTACTAGTTGGCCTGTCAGTCCAGGGCTCCCCAGAGCTACAAGTTCATACCTGTGGTTTGACATTCAAGCCGTACCAAGTTGCTTCCAACTTAATCTTGTCTTCCTCCACTTCCCATTCTTCCCACCCAGCCAGGCTAGTCTCCTCCCTGCAATCTGAACATACCTTAAATGTTCCCTCCTCTGAATTTTGTTTACACTCTTCCTCCCACCTAGGATACCCTTCCCACCCCAATAAAACTCAAGGGCCAAATCAAATTTCTTTTTTTCCAGGAGACCTTTCCTGACTATGTCAGCCATAGAGACTTCTAAGTGGGAAGCCCTCAATACTTCTTGATACCTGAAAAGCTCATCTGTTCATCATTTAAGCCCTACTCAAATATCAGCTTCCCTAGGACTTCTCACAGACCCTACTGTACACCAACCCAAGAGCTGTCCCTGATACCCTGGATCTTGGGGGTTCATCCTTCTCTTTGTATAAATCACACTGTCCTCATTTGAAGGTCCATCTGCCTCTGATAGCCCTTCTCCAGGCAGAACCACATCTGGTTCATCTTGGCATTCTCCACAATTGACATGTGTCCCAGAGCAAGGTCAGTATGATCAAGATCCATCTGAGTGAGTGAATCAATGCAAGAGAGAAAGAAAGAATGACTGAAAGTGAATAACTGAATGAATGAGTGCATGAATGAATAGATAAATATGTGAATGAATGAGTGGGTGCATAAATGAATGAATGAATGAATGAATGAATGAATGAATGGGAAAATGAAGGAATGGATGAGTAAGCAGGCCAAAACTGAGTGGATGAATAAATAAATAAATGAGTGGAAGAGTGAGCAAATGAACAAGAGAATGAGGGAATGTATAAGTAAATGGAAAAAGGAGTAAAAATGTGAATGAAAAGAGTGAGTTAGAGTGTTTAAGTTAGATGATTGAATGAATGTTAAAATAAGTGAAGACATGATTACATGAATGGAGGCTGCTGTGTCTAGAAGTCTGGTTCTTGGGGTGCAGAATCATTCCTACACCCCCCTCTACCGTGGCAGCATCTCTGTGGACCATCCCACACAGAAGGTAGCCCCACCCCAGGCTGGTGCTTACTTGATGGTGAGCTGTCCCTGCAGCAGGCCGCTGCCCTCCACCATCAGCACACTGTCCTCCACTGTCTCCAAGAGGGGGTTCACCACCATCACTTCCACCATAACTGCCACTCCCACTACAGCTGGGCCCAGCACCTGCAGAGGAAACACTCATGACCCACCTTTCTCTCCATCTCATGCCTCCCAGGGACTCTTTGCTCCTCGCCTGGTCAGATAATGGGACATTTGTTCTTTGCCTCCACATACCCCCACATCCAGCCTTAAAACCATCCCCTTACTTTCACATGACTCCTCTCCCCAGTCTTTTAGAGCTGAGGCTGGAGCTAAAAGCACACAACCTCTAGCTTCTGATTCCCTCCCTAGCTCTGAAGAGGGCCTGCTAGGAACAGGGTGGCAGATGAGGTCATGAGTCACCTTAATGGTGATAAAGTCCTCTAGCGTAATGTCTTTCTCCACCAGGAGCTTCTCTCCTTTGGTGACATGGCACATGGCAGCCAATAGGATTTTCTTGTCCTCTGTCAGGTCTTCCTTATACTGAGAGTAAGATATTGCAATTGGAATCTTTTTCTCTGAAAGAGAAAGAAAACATTGGAATTATCATCTGGTGTTCTTTAATGGTATCCAAAAGAAGGAAGGGACCACCCAACTACTGATGCGTCATTTCTGGTCCTTGCAAACATCTTGAGAGAGGCACTATTATTCTCAGTTCATAGATGAAGAAACCAGAAATGCAGAGAAGGGATTTGGTCCCTAATCACATAGTGAGCAAATCAAGGAGGCAATATGAAGGGAATTTAAATTCAGACCAGTCAGATACCATGATACCAGACTGTTTCTCCAAAAGTTACCAGATACATGTCTGAACTTTCCCTAGTAATTCAAGACAGAAATCTCTCAGTCCATCATTCATTTATCACCTCAAGAATTCACTTACTAAGTGTTGACTAAATACCTTACAAATTGGGCTGTGAACCTTAAGGTCAGCAGTTTGAAACTAGCAGCTGTTCCGCGGGAGAAAGATGAGGCTTTCTGCTCCCATAAAGATTTACAGCCTCGGAAACCCTGTGCAGGGTCACTATGAGTTGGAACCGACTCCCCGGCACATAACCACCATGCTCCAGGCATAGAGAAGAGGGAACACGAAGGCCTACCTCAGGTTTCCAATCCAGTGAGGAGGTCAGCTTCCTCTCAGTTTCGCTCAGTTTTCCCCTCCATAAAGGCCCACTATTTGTCAGTACCACCAAGCAAGGAGAACCTTCCCTGATCCTCCAACCCAGTGATTGTATGCCTTCTATTCTCTGAGTTCCCATGGTCCTGGCCATCTCTCTCTCACCAGCTACAAACACCTTGCCTATAAGTCATTACCACAAGGTCATCTGCAACCCTTAGTCATATATACATACACATACACACATGAGGAGGGTTAAAAAATTTGTGGAACAATTTCATTATTTTTTAAATTCACTTTTTCTATGCATTTTTTGAGCCCCCTCATGTGTGCATATATATCATTTAACACCCACATTTTCCTATGTACCCTAGATACAATGTGCCTAACCATTCCCTACTGTCCTACCTCTCGAAAGCTCTCTGAATTTACAACCTGTGGACAAGGTCCTTATATGGTCAAAATCTCTGTTCTAGTACTTTGTACATCATAAGTGCTTCCTGGTAGGAGGATCCATGTATTAAAGTTTTGTCTTGTTTTACGGGATCCTGTAGTCCAGTAGGTCATTGCTGAGAGAATTCTTATAGCAAAAGCAACAGTGAATAATTATAAAGCTAACTTTTACTGAGGGTTTAAATTGTGCTGGGCACTGGAAGCACTTTGAGTAGATTAACCTGTTTATTCCTCACAATTCCATGAATATTATGAACCCTGATTTATACTTGTTCATTAGGTGGTAGAAGGAGACCTGGTGTGGCACTGTGGTTCATGCACTAGACTGCAAAGTTGGTTTGAACAGCAAGGTCGGCAGTTCAAGCTTATTAGCTGCTCCTCAGAAACCTTAAACAGGGCTGCTATGAGTTGGAACTGACTCAACGGCACTTAACAACAACAAGGTGGTAGGAAATGTGGCAAAACCTTATATATGTTATATCATTTACTCCTTGCAGCAATTCATAGTGGCAGAACAGTGATTCTCAAAGTATTATTATCACCAGGAACTGGCTAGAAATGCAAGTTCTTAGGCCCCACCTCAAACTTGCTGAATCAGAAACTCGTGAGGAGGAGCCCATCAATCTGTGTTTTGACAAACCCTCCAGATGTCACTTATGAATGCATGGTTTGAAAACCACTGAGGTAGAAACTATCATCTTGCTTCCACAAAGGAAAAAGGTTGAGGCTTGGAGATGAAAGGAAGCAAGCTGTCTTAATTATCTAGTGCTGCTATAACAAATACTGCGAGTGGATGGCTTTAACAAACAGAAATTGATTCTCCCATAGCTTTAGGAAGCTAGAAGCCCAAATTCCTGGTGTGGCACTGTGTGTAATGCACTGGACTGCAAGGTCAGTTCAAGCTCACCTATATAGGGTCGCTGTGAGTTGGAACCGACTCGACGGCACTTAACAACAACAGGGAAGGCTTTCTTTCTGTCTCTTGGTTTTAGGAGGTTTCCAGCACAGCAACTCTAGGTCCAAAGGGCATGGCCCTGTTCCTGGCTTTTCTTTTTTGGTGATAAAACAAGCATTGATCTCTGCTCGTTTGTCTAATCTCGTTTATATCTGAAAACAGGCTGGCTCAAGATGCAATCTAATCCTATAGATTGTCTACTGCCTGAGTTACAGAGCTGTCATGAATCCTGCCCCATTAACATCATAGAGGTTAGCATCTATAACACACAGGTTAATTAATCAGATCACACAATGGAGGTAATTATATATTACTGAGAATCATGGTCTATCCAAGTTGATACAGACTCTGGGGTGGGGGTGGGGGAGAGACACAATTTAATCCATAACATAGTCTTAGATCACCCAGTCCTCGCAATAACTTCTGTGCTGTCAAAGTTGAAGGCAATTTCTTGGACTCTAATCACCTTGTTGACACAATCCAATTTATAAAACTCCAGTATTTCCAGCCTCACATTCCTGTCATCTACTCCATATCTTTGTACTGAGTCTGAGGAAAAGGTAGATGCGAGAGAAAAAAGGCACTTGAAAGGCAGGGGAAAGGAGCCCCTGCTTCTGACATCCAGGAGGATTAAGCAGTTGTGTTCCTCAAACTGCATCAGAACCATCTGGTTCTGGCTTTTTAACACGCAGTTTCCTGGACCTCTTACCTGGAGGTTCCAATCTGTGGGCCTAACTGGGGTCTATATTATATTGACATTCTTAAACAGGCTTTTAGGAATCACTGGACTAAATTATGCAATATATATTTTTAAATCACACCACAGAAGTTGGAATTCATCAAAAGTCAGAAACTACATAAAAAAAAACACTACTAATAGACTCAAAAGACAATCCACAGACTGGGAAAAACTATTTGCAAATCCCGTATCTTATAAAGGACTTGTGTTCAGAATAGATAAACAATGACGATAAGAAGAGAAGAACAAAATAAGCAACCCAGTTTAAAATTGAGCCAAACACTTGACCAGTTAACTCCATAACAAGGTACATGGATGGGAAAGAAGTACATTTACCCTTTTTGAACTGGGCCCAGTCGCTTGACGACCACAATATCACCTTTCTTGTAGATTCGCATGCATGTGGCCAACGAAACAACCCCAGGCTTCTACAAGGTCTGGAGAATATAGCTGGTGTCTTGCCTATTTCCCTTTGTGTTTGCCATTTTGGTGGATTACTGCAAGATAGTGGGCTAGCCGAAAGGACGAGCCAATACAATCTTAGAACGCATGTCTCTATAGCTACCATCCAGTTTTAATAAATCATAATATTTTGCCATATATGCTACGAATAATTTTGTAATAAACTAGATTTTACAGAAATAGTTGAAATTTCTTGAGCATTCTTCTGTCACATTCCTCTTTTAAGCCCAAATGTTAACATGATTATGATTTTGCTGTCCATCCTTTTCCTACATGTCTTTATAATATATATATCATATACTGTTGTATTATATACTGCAATTAGATGAGTTTAGAACAATATGTTATTATTTGCATATTTTAGCTTTAAATATGTGTATAATGATGTACAAATATTTCTGAAATTTACCTTTTCAGTCTAGAATAAGTCTTTGAGGTTTTAGTATAGTGTTATTTGTAACTTTAAAAAAAAAATTACTTTCAATGTTCTGCCTCATACCATTATTCAATTACATCACAATTAAGTGTATTAATTTTTGTGTTGATAGATACTTAGGTAGTTTCCAAATGTTCACAAATATAAGTGATACTGTCTCCAAGATTCATTCACATGTATTCTGTTGCACAGATCTAAGAGTCTCTTTAGGTTTTGTGCAAAGAAGTAGAATTCTTTGTAATGGGGTATGAGTACTTTTGATAGTAACATTATTAAAGAGTTAATTCTTCATAGTAAAAATATATGGATGGCAAATAAGCACATGAAAATTTGCACAACATCATTAATCATTATGAAAATGCAAATCAAAACCATAATAAGATCCCATAACAGTCAAACATCATTTAATGTCCATGATAAAATCTGTGAAATAGGGTGTTATGTGATTTGGATGCTGTGTGAACACCATATTTTGTATTGGGCAGTCCCTGGGTTATAAATGGCTGACTTACATACAGCCTATAGTTATGAACCAGTAAATTATATTAAACATTTGAGTGCACACAATGACTCATAGTAACAATAGGGTGCTACTTTGCAACACAGATCAACACATTATTATTATTACTATATTGTTATGTTAGAAATCTTTCAGTGTATCTGGAAGTGTTTCTTTAATGTTTCCTATGCATAGAAGGGCACACTGCATATTATACACTTAGACAAACATTTGACTGATAGTCAATATGAAAAATGCCTCGTTGTTCCAATTTATGTACAAATTTATAGACATCCTAGACATTAGTGAGTCAAAATGAACCGGTATTGATCATTTTGTATCTGTAAATCACAGAATTTGCTGTGATGGGAATGACAAATTGAAGAGGAGTGGCATAGCATATATCATCAAAAAGAACATTTCAAGATCTATCTTGAAGCACAATTCTGTTGGTGATAGGATATCCATATGCCTACAGCAGTTCAAAACTACCAGCTGCTCCACGGGATGAGGCTTTCTGCTCCCGTAAAGATTTACAGTCTCGGAAACCCTATTCAGGGTCGCTATGGGTTAGAACCGACTCGACAGCACTTAACAACAACAAGACAGATCAGTTAATACCACAATTATTCAAATTGATGCATCAACTACGAAAGTCAGTGATGATGAAATTGAAGAATTCTACCAGCTTCTTCAGTTTGAAATTGATCAAATATACAATCAACATGTATTGATAATTACTAGTGATTGGCATGCAAAAGTTGGAAACAAAGAAGGGTCAGTAGTTGGAAAATATGGCCTTGGTGACAGAAATGATGCTGGAGATCACATGACAGAATTTTGCAAGACCAGTAACT